GGAAGCTCATAATGCCAGCAGTCCCTAATAAGTAAAATAAGGAAATTTTATGAGCTTTTTCTAGGTGTCTAAATAGAGTAGGGTTTTATTCTTTAGAATATTTTATGCTCTATTCACTTCTTTAATGATGAATATTAGTCTTAAGAAGCAGGTGATCTCAAACACATTGTTGTGTTATCATTAGAAATTATTACCTGCCTACTCTACAAAGAACTGAGCCTCATGCATATACATAAAGCACTCTTCAAAGGAACAAATGCTGAGAACAGACCTTGATACTTTAAATAATTTTTTAGTATTTTTCTTCTTCCTGTAGTCACACCCTTCCATAATTCTGCTTCAATCACTTCATTAGAAAATTAGAAAACTTTTATAAATGTATATATCTTTTTTTGTTATGTGAAAGACAAAAAATCATCGTATCTAGTTCAATAAAACAGTCTTTTTTTTTCTTTGCCCAAATGGCACTTTGTCCAAACAAAAACAGACTATACTGAATTTAATTGTTTGCCAAGAAATATTAAAAACAATTGATCACAGTTAACAAAAAGGCTTTAGTTTGTATTACTATGAACATGTCAGATGCTATCAATTTTCAAACCACTGAATGGATAAAGCTGAAGTGGTTGGAAGAGCAGATACTAAATGAGAGTCAAAACAGTGTTTCCTAGGTAGTGTTTTAGAGCCATAAAAATTTACTTTCAAATCCAAAGAAATAAGTAAATTCTAACTTTTTATTTTTGTTTTTAAACGTTTTTATCCACAGGGAACCCAAGTTTAGTATTTAATGGTTTTCATTTTAGACTAAAAGAAAAATGGAAATACTAATAGATGTCTCATGYTCTTCTATAGAGTTCTAAAGAATATGAGAGCATAATAAACATTAAACAATAGCATTTTCTAGCTAATTTATGTCTAAGGATTTCATTGGATATAATTTCAAGAAAGCTCAATGACATGCCTTGTTGAATTAATTCACTGACATCTTTATTTTTTCAAATACTCTATATATTTCTATTCTATATCTTTTATTTATTTATTTATTTTATTATTATTATTATTATTTGCTAAGAATAGATCTTTTTAATTTTGTAGATTTCAGATGAGGGTTTAGTCCCATTAACTGAAAACTGCCCAAAACTCAAAGAAGTATGTGTAAGTAGCTGTTATGGTATCACTGATACAAGTGTTGAGGCACTGGCTGTAAACTGCCCATTTCTGCAAGACCTAGACATTAGCTGGTGTTATAAAGTGACTGATCAAAGCTTGAGTCTTTTTCTAAATCCAGAAAAGAAAATAAAGTCACTGAGAATTAAAGACTGTAGCAGAGTAAGTAAAAAATTCTATAACATTCATTGCCTTACTTAATACTAGACTAGTAAGTAATGGTGTTCTCAGACCTTTTTTATATTTATCATTTAAGTACTAAGTAGTATAACTTTGTGCAATGTCTCTTGATCCCACACATTACTTTTTATGCATTTCTAACTTTTTTTAAATAAAAAAAGTCATAAGGATATAGTAATGTTAAAGCAAATTATCTTTACCACTTTCAAGTAGAAGCATATTGGTCTTACCTTTCAAAGAACTTCCCCACCTATTGGAAATGCCCCACATCCCCTTCCCCCCAGATTTTGTTTTGGTATAGACTGTCATTTTCTGAATTACTTTATTCCAGAAAATGAAGTATTAATGTCAAGTCACACCCTCAGGGTTTAATTTGAAGCAAAAAACCTTTTCTATATCTAACTGTACATCAAATGGATTTATTTTCCAGGTGACACAGGAAATGATAACACATCTTGTTGAGAAAGGGATTAGTGTAAATTGCTTTTTCTGAGAGGGTTGCATCTATAAGGATCAAATTGGAAAAGTGTTGGACCTATCTATATATGCTGAATGCATAATATCTACTTGAAAAAAATATATACTAAGGCTGGCTTGGCCTAAAATCTTTTGTTACTATCATAAGTTTTCTTTACATATCAAAAATGAATATGAAAAATTACATACAATAAATGGTACAGAACTTTTAAGAAAGTTGAAAGAAACTTTAAAAATATTGTATAGAAATAGAAAATGTTTTTACAAACTTAATCTGTAATCATCTCCATAAAAGGTAATGTTTTATTTAATTTCTGAAAGAATCTTTATTTTTTAGCCAATATGTTATATGAGGATGTGCATGAAAATATATTGTACATAACAAATGTAAAATATTATGAATAAACTTGAAAGTCAATGATGCTCTAAATTGTGATGTTTTTGCTCTTTAGAAGGGGGCAATAAGGAAACCCCTACCAAGCATTGTATGTTAAAAGTTTCGCAAAATGAAGAAAACAGAAAATGAAATGAGAAAGAAAAAATCTGCTCGAGGTCCCACCGAGACTTGAACTCGGATCGCTGGATTCAAAGTCCAGAGTGCTAACCATTACACCATGGGACCGTTGGCATGTTAAGAAGGTTAACTTTAACATATATAAAACTCATCACGTAACGATCCCTATCGGATGCTTTTCCATATTCACTCTAGCAGTACAGGTAGAGAAAAAGTCAACGAATTAATTGGACTAAGTGCTCTTTATGGAGAAAAAGAAAGTAATTGTAGAGTGAAGCACCTATTATTTGTAAAAGCCAGAAAGCCTTAGGAAAAAGAGACTGAGTCGGGCCTCGACATCGTGCAATTTACTATTTCAAGATGGCGGCGGATTCAAGAGAATGTAGTTCTAAAATAGAGTCAAAATTAAATCCGTTTTCGGACATGAAGCTTGCTTCTTTTGAGGCCCTAAAGTTAGTTAACGTGTACCATATTTGATTTATTCGTTAGTATTTGAAAAAAGACTAAAAGTTTTTTGATTTTACTTTTAGTAATGTTGAAAGAAGAGCGTGTGCAAAGTGCAAGTCTTCGAGGAAATACTATTGCTACAAATGTTATGTTGTGGTTGGGATCGATCGATCTTTGATCCCTGTTGTCAAACTACCACTTCAGGTGCACATGTAAGTTTGTTAATTTTGTGTCCGATAAATTGTAATTGCTTAAATTTAGAATTTATTCTAGACATGGCCAAAACTTTATGTTTTTGTTTCATATTACTGTAAATTTCTATATCTTGAAATAAGTTTAGTTTAGATGGCTTATGTTTATGATAAACCAATTTAGTTGTACACTAGTAAGTGCTACTGTCTTTAAATAAAGTCTTTACTTGCTATTTACCTATCCTTTTTCAAAATGATATAAAGGTACTAATGTTTTGTATCTTTAATAGACCCCTTTAGCTTGGGCAAAATGTTTCCCCCCATTTGAGACCTCTTGTCATTCCCCCAGTTGTGCATGAGAAGATAAATGAATGTCGATACAACTCAAACAAAGAATCTTATTCTCAAGAGAGTGACAAGTGGTCTGAATAAATGAAGTATATCCACTGTCCCTATCTGCTCAATTTGGAAATTTCAACACTGTGCTCACCAAGGAAGGTCTCATTAAGCAACCAAAACATATGATCGAAAAACACTTTCTTTAAACGATTTATTAACCCTATACTCATCTCTCCCCACCCCCAAACTCATATTTAGTTATCGCTTAGGTTCATACTTTATATTTGCAATGAATATAAATAGGCAATAAATGCCAGCCTTTTAGGATGGAGTGAGAAAATTTTTCTTTTCATTCCCTTGATATACTGCTAGCTCACTTAATCCTTCCTATCAACCTAGGCATGAATAAGAGTTCAAGAGACTGAGTAAGAGTCTGCCCTTATTCTCTTTATTCTGGAGGTTATGCTCATTCCCAAGCACTATAACTTATCTATATTTCTATATCTTGTATTTCATAAGTGCTTGGCTTCATAATTACGTGACCAAACATCTATTTCACCCTGGCCTGCTCTCAGTCTGACCTCTAGCTCAGCTGGTAGAGCATCAGTAGTACAATTCCAAAGGTTGTGGGTTTGATTCCCAGCGAGATCGGAAATTAATTTTTCCGAATTTATTTCCAAGGGTCTTTCGCCCCGAATAACCTCATCCCCAAACACTATAACTTAATATCTATATTTCTATATCTTGTATTTTATAATAATAATAATTTGATATTGTATATCATAGAGTAAAACACCAGCTGGAAGTAGATGGTAAAAGTACTTCATCTCATGCTGCAATCATGGCTGCTGAAAATGTTGTTATCCATGATTTTCCTGTAAGTATATGATTAACATTAACCAATGTATCCTTTCTAAGGATAACCAGCTAATATAGGTGTTTCTCATTACAGTATTAGATATAATGAACAAAAACATTTATATGTACTACCAACTAATAACCTGGTGTAACTAGTTGAACAGAAAAGAAAAAATATAAATGTAAGTCAATCAAACTTCAATCATTTGATTGTTTCAGTTTTTGTAGTAGCCTTGCACTCTTCTGCTTTGTGGGGATAATACGGATGTTGGACATTTTTTTGGACTAGAACAGATTATCTCATTGTATCAAGTGTATCTTTCATTGAATATTGATTAGTACTTCACCCTATAGGTTTTTTTCTGATCCATTCCAATCTTTTCTTTGCCAGGATGTACCAGAATTTAAATCAAAAGAAAAGGTAATTTAGCATAATGTAATGATTTATCTTCGTCATCATCATCATCATAATAAAAAAAATTAAATAATAATAAAAAATAAAAAAAATAAAATGATGAGTTTAATTAGTTAAATGGAATTTGTTTTTAACCAATGCATGTTTATGCATCATAAATCTAAAAAGCTTAAACCTAAACACAGCTTTAGTGCAGTTCATATTTCTGCATTGTGTTTGCATTTTCCTGCTATATTTGTTGCTGCTGTGAGTCTAGAAGCCTCTTTTTGCCACTGCAGGACGGATACTTCCATATATGGACTATATGATCCACTGCTTCTTGAAGCTTCTTGTCATAAACAGGGTATGCAATTTCACTCAAGTTCCAAGTTCTTCCTGAGTTTCCTGTCATATTCAGGGTTTCTACTTTCGTATTGACCGAAACTGGTTATTATGGTTGTAAAAAAGCAATATGCGAGATGACATGATAATTGAAACAGGAACTCAGTGCAATTAATTATATCTTTTGTCATAAACATGGTCTACAAATTTGAGTTTTTTTGTCATAAACAGGGTACCCCTTTCAGAATCCCAGCGGAACGCCCCTACCCAAATCCTGGCGGAGTACCCCCCCCCCCTCCCCCCCGGGATTCTTGCACCTCCAGCTCAATTCAATTCACTCAATTCTTGCTGGAGTGCCTGATGTAGTTTATCAAATCTGGCCTATTGTCCAGGTTCCCAGTTGTGAGGCCAGATTCAAGTTTTGATAAGTGAGGCTGATTTTCCAAAGCCCCCACAGAAATTTGAGGCAAACCCCCATTTGTATTGTTACAAGGGGATCTTGCATCCTGGGAATGTTATAGGCATTCTGGTATTTTCATTGTCTACTTGTTTTACATTTGACATTTTTTGATTAATTGCTGAACTGGAATGTATTGCATATATGTCATAACTGAACTCTTCACATTAATAACTCCAGGTCATATATTTTTAGATCAGTTTTACTGTTAGTTTCTTATTAAAAAATAATGAACCAATGATATTTTTTTTATATATGGACTAGGTTGTTCTTGTGTACCCCTGTGAGGTAAGCTAGTCAAATTATACTTTGTGATCAATTAGAAATTTAGTATAGGGCTTTTAAATTATGACATATTTCTGCATCCAACTGCTAACAAAAACCACTAAAATAAACACTSTTTTCATTAAGTTTTGAAATATAGTTCTCATACTCATTAATAATTCATGAGTAACCAGCCAATTAATGGGCTATTTTTTGGGTCACATGATGTTACTTGAAACCTGTTATATTTATAAGCTTTTGATAGTGAAATTGTAGCATATTGGGAGAATGAACTTGGAAATTCAAGAAAATATCCTGCTAACTGATGTCAAATGTTTTGTGATTTTTGTAGACTGCCTTGACACTCAGTCAGCTTGGAAAACAATCAAATTGTGAAACAGAAAATATCAATCAAAACATTGAAGAAGTTGTCTTTATTGACAGCACCTGGCAACAGGCTCACAAGATAATAACAGTAAGATCAGAAGATTTCAATAGGTTCATTCATAATGTTCCATTATCTAATTCTCAATGACCTTAATAGCTAGAGTAAACAGTAAACAACCCCAAATTCAGTGCCGCAAGGCTGTAGCCACCACTTGGGCAGTGGTCCAGTTTAAAAAAGGTGGTCCTCGGTTTTTTATTCCTGTAATAAATATTTTTTAACAAGGAAAAAATGGTTCTGAAGGTATAGAGTGGTGCGGTCAAAACCTGACCAAACGTACTGGTGGCTACAGCCCTGTGCTCATAGGGCCTTGGGCAATAATAGAATAATGTTCCTGTAAACTCTGCTAATACCTTGCACACTGACCAYCCGAAAGCAGATTCCTAAAGAAGAATCAGTACACCAGCGAGGCAGATGTTCCCTGGGAATTACAAATTGAAAAGTAAAGAAAAGTTGCTGTACTTAATATGTCAAGGATTTTAAGAACAAGAGTTTAATTAATCCTAATTATCAGGGCCAGRAGTTCTACGAAGGGTGAATAGCGCTATCCGAATTTATTTTTATCTAAATTTATTGGATAACAGCATCAACTTATTCACTGGACAAGGATTTATCCGTTGGATAGTGCTATCCACAATAAACTGAACTAACTTTTGTTCTTATTTTTTAGGACAAAAGATTAGAAAATATACAAAGAATTAAGATAGAAGATGCAAAAACATATTTTTGGAGGTTGGTTTTCACACAGGCTAAAGCAAGGTTCCTGTGTATGATTCATGTATGGGGATCAAGGGCATAGCAGAAGTACACTCGCCTCTCACCTCTAGAGTCTTGGGTTCAATTCCCAAACTAGCCAACTCGGCATTTRAGACAGAGTAGAGTTTAAGAGTAAACGGTGGCTTCCTCTCTATTCTTCGTTTGCAATAGACGTCATAGCCGCCATGTTGGAAGAATTTGACAAAAGATTTTTCAATGAATTCTTTTGTTATATATTCCAACATGGCGGACATCCCTTTTGTTATTGTGCTCTCTTGGGATTGATTGCAAACCAAGAATAGTAGAGTAGTAGATTAGAGTTTTTTGCAGCCGTTCTTAGCGGGCCCGAACGCTAAGAACCCTAAGAATGGCTGCAAAGTAGATGATGTGAATTTTCCTCCCACAGCACCTACAGTATTAAACACTCCAAATTTCAATTCGATCTGTTAGCTAGTCGTGCCCCGACTTTGCTCAAAAGACAGTATTAATCAACTTTTTTCACCTCAGGATCAGTAAATATGGTGAATAGTTGTTAAATATTAAATGATTACGATATTTTGTCTGACCCAATACTGATAACTCTTATTATCGAAGAAACCTCGTATATCAGGGCCAGGGTGGTTCTAATATTGCGATTACTTTGATTTCAGAACTCAACGTAAACCAAATACATGTCTAGCAACAATAGAGGCAGTTTATTATTTCTTCAAGGAATATGACAAGTACATCTTAGAAAGGTGATCGATAATGGGTCCAGTGGGATCAGAACCAATGCATAAACCCCTTTTATCCGTAATGACTTTATTAGCAGTTCCATGTACACACAGTTGACTCGAGGAGTTCGTCTCATACATGCGATAGATGGTGCCGCCTATCTGTTTCTGTTCAGATCGGGTCGAAACTTACTTAATGCTGCGTCGTTTCCAACTTTCCTCTCTATCTAGTATTTCGAAATCTTACTCTTGAATTTCGTTCCTCGAATCACGTGTGTGTACGTAGTCAAGAACGAAAGCTCCAGTTATCTTCCTCATTTTTTTCAAATTGTACAGAGTTAAAAAATACCCCTCCCCCCTAAAGTTTACAACCAGGGGCGGATACTGGGGTGTCCTTTATTGCACTAGACACCCCACCCCGTAATTGCTCTTACTTTTTTTGAGGCGATGCATTATATCTATATACATGGGAGACATGGTAAACCTCTCTGATCAAATTTTTCATTCATTACTAACTTCTAATGTTTTTTCATTCAGAGAATATGATGGACGATATGACAATTTGCTGTACCTTTTTGCTTTTCAATATCAACGAGTCCAACAAGAACAACGAAAAAGGTAAGAAATAAATTGTAAGTCAGGAAATAGCAGATGCTAAACGAAWTCACTCCCAGTATTAAAACATCCGTACTATACGTACTATATATTTGTCTCCCCGATTAGTAGGGCACTTGTGCCCGGCTAGAAGATATAGAGACATTAATAAAGTTATTATTATTATTATTATTACGTTTTTAAGATAATAAGAAATTCTGCCCGACAAAGGGGTTTCAAACTCAATACCCAATGTATTATATAAATGTTCAAACCATTTAGTAGTCAGTTTTTGTTTATTTTATCTCCAGTAAGAGACGGAAAACATCTTCCATGACTGACAAGCAGGCTTGTTGTCAGAAATCAAGAAAGCAAGTGTTGTTTCAAACGTTACTTCTAAAGTGTTTCTTTCAAAATATTTGTAAATTCTATCTTCATACAATATAATATATATATTTTTTCCATTTGATAGGCTGGAGTGAGTGGGAAACATCTGCCAGCATTTCTGTTGGTYATTCGATGATTTTTTCCTTGAGACGCTTTCAGTGCTGTAAAATCCTGCCTCAGCCTGTAAGGCAAAGAACTGAGTAGAATATTATTTTTAAAACCACCGAGTTCGATTGTGCATGGCTTTTTCATTCTCTTTTATTATTTTATTACACAAGAAAAGCTATTCTATTCCTGAACCAAAGCATTTCAAAGTTCAAACTCTAAACATAAGACCCATTACCTTTTCGGAAACATATGTCCTTGTCACACAACGGGTTGCAGTAAAACTCAAGCTCCACCAGGAGAACTGAAGTGGGATTCTATTTCTTTACTTAGCAATCCATATTGATCTGGACTCGCTGTCCATGACCTCATGTTACTGTACCTATATACCTGTTCCCTATTGTTCCGTATCTGGATGAGCTAGGCAGACCAAGGGGAAGATGCAAATAATTGCTACAAAGTAATATGATATATAAATCTTTATTTAACTGTGTAACGAATGAAATTAAAGTTATTAACAATTTCATGTATTGGTGATATAAGTAACTATGACCTGACCTAATACTCTCGACACCATTGTCAAAATGATTACTAAAAGCCCTAATAAATGGCATGGGCAAATAGTCTAGTAACTGATTCAAACTAGCCCACTGACTACAAACAAGAAATATATATAATAACTAAGACAAGTTAGGACCAAACCCGAACAGTCCCATCCGAGCCCGCTGACAGAAGAAATTCTCCAGTCTTGTCGAACAACACGCTCTGAACAGCTTCTTCGTGTCCTGTTAACTGATTCACTCGACCTGTACCAACTTCAAACATTTTAACAGAGCCATCATTACTGGCTATCGAGAGTACACTTCCGCTTGGGTCGAATGCCACGCGGTTGGCAGGGTGGGGACCTAGGTCACTGGTTGCCATGCAACCGACAGTTCGAACATCCCATAATTTGACTACGCCGTACGCATCGCAAGATGCCACGGTATCGCCCTGGTAAACAAATATTAAAACAAATGSTTAATCAGAAGAATTATCAACCATGTAACAAATGAAAAGGAATGCTACGACCAACGTGCCAAGATAAATATTCTGATAATATAGACCTTCAGGTTTATCGCTAACCACTAGGGATCATGCCCAGAAACAGGTCCGCAAACACGGAGAAACACTCGGCATCAATGAAATTCAAGGCAGTTCTTCCAGCAAAAAATTCGTTATGACGCCTTGCTAAATGTCGAAAGTTTGACGCAAAACGCCTGACGTCGAACTGCAGTTTGAGGTTTGCGGTACCTAGCAAGAAGGTCGTAGTCTCTAATATTGACAGGCTTAGCCTCAATTTACATAGGGAAGAGAACCCTTTTGATTTTAATGTTTCCTTGGGTAGATAAACAAGATTTGTCACCACCCTACCTTCATGTTAACATGGCCTTACGAGTGGCTTACATTTGATCGCTACGATCGTTGAGATAACAATATTCACGATTGCTGAACTCGTTTTTGGGTGATCGCGTCGTTCAAATGGAAACCAGGCATAAGCCAGGCATCATGTTTACCATTCTTACCTTGAGATTAAATGTTGCATGGTTACAAGAATGCATGTGACCGTAGAATGTTTGCGCACACAAACCCTGATGAGAGAAGGGGATAAAATTATTGAAATGGAGTTGTTGTTGCTAACGAGGTTATTATCTTTTCGAGAGCATTTAGGTAAAAAGACCTTTACTGATACGGCGGCCATCTTGAATTATGGGATGTCGAGGTAGGGGGAAAACGCGTAGATAATTTATAAACAGAGAGTGGCGGAGTTACGTTTTCAAACATTTYGAAGTCTTGGTGTTTCGCATATTGTTCCAACTACCAGAAATTCTTTTAGATGTGTTTCTCATTGAAAAAAGTAAAGTTATATAAAAAGATATCCTGACAGCTGTGCAGTCAATTTTCCAATACTTTCCCCCTCGGCATCCCATAATGTCTTGATTAAAACAATAGAATTCAAGATGGCGGCCGTATTGGTAAAAAATCTATTGAATCGAAATATTTATGTTTACCGTTCTTGCGTCCCATAAGGAAAGTGTTTTGTCAGCAGAGCTGGTCAGCAGGGTGTTGGAGTACGGTAGAAATGTAATGCTGTTTACAGAATCTGCGTGACCACGGAGAGTAAATCGGCAACGTTCACTAAAAGAACACACCAAAGCTTAGTATAAAATGTAGACTAGACGTTTTGGTATAAAATCAGTTAATAGATTATTAGTAGACTATTAACTATGATAAAGTGTATGAGTAGATGGCGAAACAGCAGCATGCGTACGATTTTGAGATCACAAATTTAGGATAACATATTAGTCCTGGAAACATGACACACGATTCCAATATCCTCTTCGAAAATGACAGCAAACGTTAAATGGCCAAGGTCAGTGGAGGCGAGGGCTTCTAGTGATTGCTAAATGCCGGCATTATTTTTAGCCATCAGCAATAACTTCCAGAAAGCAAGCATCATTGTCATAACAACCATCTTTGTTTAAATGGAGGGTTGTACATTGTTAGTCGAGACTAAACGTCTTTTCTCCTTTATGTATTTTACTTGGGATAAGTGGACCAATCTGCCATTTCTAATTACATGCATACTCCATGCAAGGCACCAAAGTCTAAACATATAAAAAACATTAGTTTGTCAAACGTACCTATTGAGGTCCCATATCTTTGAGGTACTATCCATGGAGCAGGAAGCYAGGAAATCACCTCCTGTGTGCCAAGTGCACCCCCATACGGCATGGGTGTGGTCAGAGAATGTTAACACACATTCCGCTTTAGCGAAGTCCCATATCTTGACCGTACCATCACCTGATGATGTTGCCAGTCGAGCACCACTGAATTATATAGAAGTAAGAAAAGTAAGTTAATCTCGCCACCTGGAACAACAACACACCGTGACAGTGGTGAAGAGCGGTATTGCATGACGTTGGGCCAGAGACTAACTGGAGGAAGGTGGACAAACGGACAGAAGATTGGGAAAGCTGTTAACAATTAGTGTCAGTATGTACAAACATGGAGTCTCGCATTAAGCAATAAAGAGACACAGGTATTCGGATCTAATCCGGACGACGCTACGAACACCCGTGTAGAAGGCTAGAGTCAGTTCCGCAAAATTAGATATTAAGGTGGCTGCCTACTTTTGAACGTTCGAATTGAGCCCACGATGAGCGCGCGCTCAAAAACCGCTGAAAAATCTACAAGA